ATGGCAACGGCGCCAAAAACTTGATGCGTGTTTCTTACAACATGCAAAATGTAGCAAGTATACTAGTCGCTCAAGTAATAAAATGATGAGTAGAGTATCGTTCCCACGAGGATTGTTAGCAAAGCACTGAGTTTCCTAATGTTATCAAGTTGAAGCAATCGAATTCTTTGGATTGGTGGGAGCAAATTCTAATTAAAAACAACAATGAATTTTAAACTAAGATTAAAACTTAATTAAGAAAGCAATATGAAAACACGGATAATCAATTCAAGTAAAACGGGTAGGGTTTTGACTTCATTTGGATTTTTATGGGTTAAACCTAAAAATTACACTACATTCACATTCATACGCAATGGTTGTAAATCGAACTCACTAATATGTTAAACATACCCTCTCGGGCTATATTTTCCTATTCATCCTTATTAACCTTCCGCACCCAACAAATTGAAGATTAATAATTCCAAACTCATTAAGCAAAAGAATCCTATAATGATTTCATTAATTCTTGAATCTATCTCTAGCATCCAATACTATAATGGTGATTACCCAAGAAGCCTAACATGATTCATTTCTCAATCTCACCATGTTCATCACATACATCATTAAAAATCAGAGTAACACACACCCAAAGCATATTCATATGAAAATAACACAATCAAACCCTTAACCCATTTAAAATCCAAACTACCATCAAAACCCTAACCCAAAATAGATTAGTTCATAGCTAAATCAATAATATAAAAACAAAAATCGAAAATAAACAAGTTCAACATAATGAAACTGAGATAAAAGATTAGAAATCTCCCCAAAAGATGAATCCTCTAGTTAGAAATCAAGTCTTCTCCCTTTCACAAACCAAATCACTCAAAGTTTACTTAGAAAAGTGCAAAAGTAGCTAACCCTAAAACAAAACGAAGACCCTGGGCAAAAGGCTAAGTTTTTCTTTTATACTTCGTCCAAATAACCCATCCAAAACACGCACAGAACGAAACTGTGCATTTAACAAAACTGAAATTAATGACTGTCGCCGCGGCGAAGAGTGAAGCAGACATGCTCGTCCCTGGCTTACTTCGCCGCGGCGAAGACAATTCCTTCGCCAGGGCGAAGCTTCTTGAAGAGTTCTGAAATTACAGAACTGCCACTCTGCTTGCTTCTTCGTTTGATTCTTCGATTCTCGGTGCTCTCCCTTGAAAACAAGCTTCATCGTGCTTTATCTTGCTCCGGAACTCTCCTATCTTTTGAGATCCGCTAATTTCTGAGTCAAAAATATCCAATTTTGTCCTTATTTGCTCAAAATGTCCATTTTGACCTGAAATACGAAAAGCAAAGAATTAAGCAACAATTCAGGTCAAAATGCACTAGAAAGTACCTGAAATCCGACAAAAAGGTATAATGAAAAGTGTATAATTCACGGATTATCACTAACCCCCATGTGTGCTCACGGGTTTATGTTCTAACAATAAATTTTTTGGACTCCGCCAACTTGCCACTTGCACTTTCGGTCACGACATACAACCGTCACTACTGATGAATTAGACTTTTTGGTGATAAACTCAAAATTACCTCTCACGACAACAAGTTTTAGCTTCCTCACTATTTCCTCCTTGTTGTCGAATAAATACCCTACGCGCAAGTCCAATCCATCAGTAAAAACATGAGGTGATTCACTACTACCCCCAGTTGTCGCCTTTGAACCTTTATAAAAAACCATAGTGTTCTTTTCCTCGCAAACTACACCTTCTGCATAATCTGTATTTATAGGAATCTCTACATCTGCAGGAACATGTACGAGGTCCTCCTCACCCACATTTTCATTCTACCCCACATGACCAACCTTTTCTACAATGCCCTCCTTACCACCCAAATCACCGTCTACTCTTGATTTTTCAACAAAGAAATCAATGCCCTCGTAGTTAAAATTAAAACTAGCATTCTCTTCACCAACTTCCTCGTTATCCCTTTCCTTTAAACCAACTTCCAACGGTTTATCTACAAAAGAAACCCTTAAAATCGATCTCGAACCATTATCGCCCCATCAAGCATATATAACTTCACACCTTCGTTCGACTTTAATACAGCAGGGGGTACCTTATAATGTTCAAGAACTCTACTTAAAACATATTTCACAACTATATCACTAAGTGACCAACTCAAATCACCTATTCTAATTATTTTATCAATCAACTCATTAAAACTAACCTTTATGCTCATAGCAATTGGTATAACTTATTTGCTCTTCCCAATCCACTTCCAACAACTTTCTTCCTCCATCCATTCACCAAAATATTCAACATCCAAAACAACTTGTTTCATGTCTAATAATAGCCAAGTACCTATAATGCAAGAAAAAAAAAATTATTAACCGATATATTAAGGGTTGACAGATTTTAAATAGCATTTATAGAGTTGCTTAAGCGATTTGAGCGATCCAGTATATCGCTTAAGCGATCTGGTATAAATAAGTCTGAGCGCTTAAGTGATCTTCTACCATATACCTGATCGCTTAAGCGATCTGCTGCGATATACCAGACTTATAGCAGATCGCTCAGGCGATCTTATGCCATATACCTGATCGCTTAAGTGATCTACTGCATTACACTAGACATACCAGATCGCTTAAGTGATATTCCAGATTCAGAACATATTTTCAATCATCTCCACCTATAATCAGTGCTACCACCCCTAGCCATTGACAATGCAAGAAAATAATCAATAAATTTCACTCATTTCAATTTGCATTACATCAAACACAACCCAACAACCTAAACAATTAAATCAAAATCATAACCAAAACCCAATCCATCATTAAATCTTTGTAAATCGATATATAAAATGCAAGTAGGAGATACACATACCTGGATGAAATGTCAAAAGGAGGGGGAGGCAGATCTTTGACAAAGAAGATGTTAATGACGGAGGAAGAAGAAGGTGTTAATTGTTAGAGTAGGTGCCCTAGAGCCAATCAATTATTATAGAATTGACCCTTTGTAATGATGTTCATTGATCAATAAAAGACATTTTATTCTATATCGTGTAAAACATATCTATATGTATTCATATATATCCTTCGAATGGTAGAACCGTGACGAGGGTATCAAGTGTTTCAAATCTTGATAGTGAGAACCTTATGAGCACATATGGTGGCCATTCTAGAAATATCTATAGTCCCAGTGTTATTCTGACCAAGGACACAGATAATACGGTAAGACTATCATAGTGTTGAGCGACCCTGTCGAAAGGCAGTGACTGATCTCACTTGTCAAGGTTGTTTGTTGACAACTTGATGTAACACATGGGTGTTTACTGTAGGCATGTTCACTAGACTGACCCACTAGAGGATTCCATATAGATGGTAACCCTAGTGTTTGTGGAATAAATCCTCTAACGAATGGTGGTGCATGTGATCCTTAGACTTGAGATCACCGGAGCACCTTGTTCACCGATTGATGTAGTTTGACACTAGCCCAACGTAGTTATATTCAAAGCTATCAATACGGTAGTGATTGGCTATATCGAGGAGGGTATCGAGATTATGATGGATCGAGAAAAGATTCATCACTCCCGGGTATGGGAGAAGTTATCTCATGGTGCAATTCAATATATGGTAATAACACTAAAGTTGTGGCCACAATAGGATTGAGTTGTTGCCCAATCCAATTTATTATTCCAGTCATTTCTCCAGTAACTAAATACAAACATATCGAGAGTAACTGAAGTTGACACTATTTCTATACCTCTGTCTCAATGAGATAACAGATGATGAAAGGATTTAATTATACAATAACAATATCATTGACAGATAGATATTTCGCTGAATCCGAATCTATCGGGTGACCATGATGCGTTGCTAGGGGCCAATCTTGGATTGTGTGTAGTGAGACGATTGATTGGTATCAATCGCGATACTACTCACTACTGGTATGATGAGGAGCCTACAAGTCACACAGTAAGAAGACAACTTAAGGATGGTTAACTATGGAAGGGTATTTTCGTCTTTTGGACGAAAGGGCATATTGGTAATTTTGATGTGTAATTAAATTTACTGAGGTTGTTGCTTGTGTCCAATTTTATTATTGGAGTTATGTAGCAAAATTACGAATTTAATTATTGAAGTTAATATTAATATTTAACAAAATAATTAAATTGGGACCTGTGGTAATTCCACCTAAGTTTGGGTTATTGCTAAACTTTGGGGGTGGAATGGACATTTAGCTTTTCTATATAAAGAAAGCAATGAATATGTTTTTACACAATTCTTCATTTTGGCCGTGAGCGTGAAAAATTAGAGAGAATTTTTCTCTCTTCCTTTCTTCTTTACTTCACCCTTCCAAACCTTAAATCCTTAAAGCTAGAGATTGGTTCTAGTCTTTGTTATACTGTTTTCGTGTGGACAATGTGAGTTCAATCTTATACTTGAATCGGTAGCGAGATCGCGTTTAGAGATATTGACGGAGCCTCCAAACGTTGGTATGATCCGATCTTTGGTTTGATTTATGTTATTTTAATTTAAGCATGTAAAGTTTGTGTGTATATATATAAGACTCTGATTTTGGGCTTATCAGAGTAATCGATGAGAAATATTTTCGTTTTTCGCTACGTTTACCCCATCGATTTACTAACATTAATGACAGAAGAAGAAGAAGATGGAAACAAAGCTAATAAGAAACAGCAACCAAGGGAGGGTAGTTCTGATGCGTTAATGGCAGGAGGGAGGAGGCAAATGAATTTGTTTTGGGTTTGGCTTTATTTGCAATAATTTTGGATTTTTAGAGATATAATATAATTTTTAAAAGATTATATATTATTTTATTAATCCTAATTAAACAATAATCATATTTAATTACTGCTAATCAATAATAAGACTATTTAGTTAAGAATTTAAAATTTTACAGCCTTTTAATTAAATTTGAATCGACTCAGTCGGATCGGTCCTTGTGAGAAGAGCTTTTGGATATAAAGGTCCCCCAGATGTCCAATAATAATTAGTCCAATAAAAACGACCTGAACTTTCCTTGGACTTTCCCGTTTTCCTCAGAAACCTCACTCTCTTTCACATTCAAAAACGCTGACTCCAACCCCAATTTTTACACAATCAAGCAAATCAAATCAGTCAAAATTTTGAATTTTCCCTTCTTTCTTCCTCGCTCTGATTCACCTCCATTCCAATGGCGAATCGTGGATCTTACGCCTCCGGTCCTCGCTTAGGTCAGCTCTTTCACTTTTCTTCTTTTCATTTTTTCTGTTAAATTTCTCCTTTCTTTCGATTTGATTGACTATTGAATCAATACTGTAGGTTTTCTTATTATTGCTGTGAAAATGAAATTAATTTAAATATACGAAATGTTTATCTTTTTTCTTTTAAAGATTAATAACCAATCAAGTTATTGTATTTTTATTTATTTTTAATGGTAATGGAGTGCGAATTTTGCTAGATCAATTTTGAAGAACAAGTGAGTTCATGCTAAGAGCTTGAGATGTTTATTCCACTATTTGCTGAATATCTAGTCTTAGATAGATCTGGGAAGAATTTGTATGGTTGTCATAGAATCATTGCGTCAAGTCGCAGTATTACTGTTTGCGTATTGGCGAACTTGACTTATAACAAATTAGTGTTTTCAGATGGATTTTGTGGTTTGATGTTTGGTTTCCTATGAAGAGGTTAGAGGTTCAGATCGTTCCGTGCCCAGGTTTATCTACCCGTTTCTAATCAGGTCTTGAAATTTCCAGGCATAAATTATAAAACAAGAATTAAAATCCACTATGAGAGTCCCAATGGCAATGTATTGGGACAATGATTATATTTGGAGAGAGTGAAAAATGTCCTAAGGTGATCATTGCAAGTTTTTGTTGCACATGCAGTGTATCTTCTACTAGTGAAGATGGTTGCTAGAGACTGAATTATGCATAACTGGGGATATCACTTTTTCTATTATCTCTTATTAGTAAGTTGTGGTTGATTTGAGCCTAGACGTGGTCCAAACATATGAGTAAAATAAGCTGTTTTAAGTCATGAACACGGTCCCTATCCTTTTGTGTATTTTATATATATGTATTTGAGAATTTTTTGAGTTTGCTGACACTATGAGAAAGTCAATGACAGTTTTGGGGAGTTTACATTCCCTCTGATGTTTTCCTAACTTGATCTCTCAATGTTCTGACATAATGTTCTCATAGTGATAACTAAGCAATGTTTCCAGCATGTTCCTTCTGACTACATGGACCCACATTTTCCTTGTTGTCCATTCATAATAATAATCCTGGGAATACTTTTTTCAGTTGATTGAGTTTGGCATTTGATTTGCAGATATTCAGCAATTACAAATGGAAGCCCAGCATAGATGGTTGCGGCCAGCTGAAATTTCTGAAATTCTTTGGAATTATCAGAAGTTTCAGATTTCATCTGAGCCTCCAAACAGGCCTTCAAGTATGATTATTGCAAATTATTTTGGAAGCACTAGTTGTTACACAATATTAATTCTTACCAATACTTGCTTGCATAGTAAAAGTTAAAACTATATGTGTAATAAATTGTCTTCAGAGGCTTTTGATGCCAACTTCTCTGGTGACTTGTATGTTTCTTGTAAGTATTATCATGTTAAGCTTTTAATTTCTTGAAATACTAGCTCAGCCAGTCGCAGCCATTAAGTAACTTATACATTTACTCTGTACCATAAAGAACAAACTTTGGACATAGTTTTTAGGCTCTGAATTAGCTGTCAAAGGTATGTTGTTTCTATGTGTATGAACTTGTCAAAATACTTGCGTTTTATAGCCCAAATGGTTGCTGTAGTGGTTAAGGCCTTTGGTTTTTGCCAAGAGCTCAAACGTTCAACTCCCTTTTGAACCATCTGCTTAGGATATTTATCCCACAAGTTTTTTGGCTACCAAAGTTGTCGGCAGTGATCTCCGGTTAAATCTGCAAACATGTATAAAGGTGGATAGATTTTGGGTAAAGAATAAAATAGGAAACTTGTCTTCTATGCTCACAGCAGTTTTCTGTTTTGTTTACACTTGTTTGTCAGCCATTGCTGAAGTCAGTTTTTGATAAAACTGTTCTCAGGACAACCCTTTTTTTAAGAAAATTAATAAGTTATTTTGTAGTATATTGTATGATTACATAAACTGGACTTTATATAATTTGTTTGACAAAAAATCTTAAATAAGGTGAACAAGGTGTGGAAAGCTATAGTGCTTAATTTTAGTTATTGCTATGCAAATGTATATGATATTTTGAAAACAAAAATTCTTCCAGACATGCTCTATTCTTTTACCTCATATTGCTTGATTGTATATAGTTTCTAGCACTTTTTACATTAGTAATTTATAGCATCCAGAGTTTCCTATATATCTTGCTTCTGCCTATGTAATTCACTGGACTTTCTGAATGGTGAAAATTTAGTGAAATAGTGATCTTTGTTAAAGGAGTCGGAATTAAATCTATAAGCAATTGTCTTTATCACCTTTTTTCACTGTGTCATTATAATGTATGGTTGACTTATGAGTCCATGTCACTTATCTTAATGATGATGCTGAAGCCTTTTTGGCTCTCTTGTAACTTGCTCCCCATTTTTCCTGTTCCTTGAGATTTCCCTCCTTGCTATTCCACAGAAAAGCAAACATATGTAAACTGATGCCATTAAATTGGCTGGTTTAAAACTAGTTTCTGTTTATTTTAATTGCTGATTTGTCAACTTCAAATACATTGATTCAGAGTTTCTGGTACCTTTTATGTTATTATATTTGATTTATCTTTTTCTGTTTTTTCTGGTATTGCATTAAATTCTTCTGTTATGTAATTGCTCTGGTCTGATTGTTCCCTGTTCTATCATTCCCTATTTTGCGAGTGCACAATTCTGTTCTGTTTGGTTAGTATCTGAAGTTTATAGAAGGTATTATGCTTTGTTAGCTTGGTGGATTCAAAGTCTATTAGGTAATTTATCATGCAATAATTTTGTAATCCCTTTTTTTTAATCTGTTACATGTTAGTGCACTTTTATTTTGGAATATATAGCCAGATATTTTTCGTTAAATTTCCATAGCACAAAGAAAATAAATTGGGTAGATTGAATGTTGGGTAAACGTAGATTTACTGCTAATGATTCATGACTGTCAAGAATTCCTACAACCGCTAGGTCATTAAAAGTTGTTAATATGTTTTAATGGATTCTGAAACTTTAGATGTGTGAGTGACATATGAGAACTGATGGTAACTGACATTTTGATTGTGATTGCTATTCTAAACCATTCTTTACTGTGTCTCCTTCCAAGTTTTCATTACTTTTATTGTGCAAATAATTTGGGACCTATTTGTTTGGATATGTAGATTCTGAATTTTGAGAGGGGCACATGTATATAATTTATCATTTTGCTATGCCATTGAGGAAAAACCGGGCTACATGGCCTATGATTTAAATGTTGTTCTTTGGTAAGAGTTGGGCATTTTTCACCCTGCTCTTATATTCTTTTTTTATTTTTTAATATCATTCGGAGGAATAATAGGTTTAACTGCTTATTTGATATAAACAACAGCATACCAATTCTTTTGGCCACTACATGTAGGATTAATTGATTCATAACTCTTAGTTCTGAATTTGATGTGATTGATATTTTTTATGTTTCTGCGTCCCTTGCCTGCTTTTAGTTTTTGCATATCTTATGATGTTTCCATGTGGAAGAAATTTTGAGAAGTTTGAAAACTTTCAGTTCAAACATTAGTGTTTGCTTCTTGTTGGTAATTTTCAAACATTTTCTGTGTTGAAACATTGTCGTATTTAACATTGTAGCTTGACATGCACTCCGCCATGCTAGGTGGTTCACTTTTTCTTTTCGATCGAAAGGTGTTGAGATACTTTAGGAAGGACGGACATAATTGGAGGAAGAAAAAAGATGGAAAGACTGTTAAGGAGGCGCATGAGAAATTGAAGGTAAGGTTGCACTTAGCTTCTATCTGGGCTGTGGAACCCTGAGATTAAGGCCCTGAATAATTGCACTTATTCTTCTTCTATTTTATGTTTTGGTATCATGATTCAAATAAAATGTAGTGAGAGTTTGAGAGATAAATTATCCAAGCAATTTTAGGTTGGAAGTGTTGATGTGTTACACTGCTATTATGCCCATGGAGAAGAGAACGAAAATTTCCAGAGGCGCTGCTATTGGTTGCTTGAACAGTAAGTCTGAACTCATCATTGTCATCTCTCTATCTCTCTTCTTTTTTTCTTTTTTTCTTTTTTTTTTTTGGCTAATAAACAAATATTGTCTATTAAAAGTATACAAGGGTGGACAAAATGTCCATACAAAAGGACAAGCTGTCCCTAAACCCAAGGGTTCATAGAACAAAACAAACCAAAACCTAGTGCAAATGGAAGTTTATCCAACTAAAGAGAAAGTGGAATGAGAATAATCAAAATTGAGGGCAAAACGGTCATTAGGAGTACGACAGAGACGGAGAGGAGTCAGTACCTGAGCTGGCGATCGTATTTGGTTTTCGGTTCCGCCATTATGTGTTCCGGCGTGCGGTTCTTTTTTCTTTTCTTTTTTACTTTTTTTTTTTTCTGTTAAATGAAAGTACTTTTTTTTTTTTTCTGTTCGCTTAGGAGTTACGCAGAGTGTGTTGGGACTTGGGAGACGAGTGTTGATGGAGAAGAAACGAAGAGCTCATTTTACCAAGACAATTATTGATACGGACAACGGAAGTTGAACGACGTCGTATCGAAGCTTTTATTGCCCCAAATACAATTGTTAAACAAGTAATAGAAAAAAAAAAATACTTTTCTATTAACACCTGAAGCAAACTTCTGGCTACTAAAAAAGCACCTAGTATTATGTAGGTTTATCCTATTTGATTATGTAATTCCAATTGAATACAAAAAATAGAAAATAAAAAAATGTTTGTAAAAGTGCTTCTTAATCACCATAATCATTATTACTTTCTAAATTTTGGTCCAAACAATATATTTCTAAAAATATTGAAAATGTTGCGACTGTTGTATGAAATGAAGGAAAATCTAGTTATTCTAGTGTCTAATTGTTACTATGGTTCAAATAGCTGATATCATTGTTTTATAGAAGCTTAAATGCCGGACAGTGATTTTTAGAATGAAAATTAGAAAGTTGATAGAAACTATGTTTGTAAGCTGAACTTCACTTTCTCTGAACATTTGTAGTTCTAGCATTGGAATCAAATATTTTGGCATAAGAAATGAGACATTGCACTCTAGAAGCTTAAATGCAACTGGATCATCATAAGATTTTTTTGTTACAACATTTTTAGTTTCTTACATCCCAAATTTGCACAAATCCATCAAAGGCTAGGCCATGGTTGCTTAAATGCAGACTATGAGCTTGCATCTTCAGAAACAAAATAATGCAACTATTTGTTTCTTAAACAATGCAAATAAGTTAACTTTTTGCATGAGCTCATATCCAGTTTGTCAATGAACAGCATGCTCAGAAAATAAGCCGTAAATTTGAAGCTCATTTCTTCAGTTTAATTCCAAGAACCATCTTTAGCTGGTACAAATCTTTTTAGGATTAATAATGTGAGAGGAGGTGTCGACAGTCCACCCAGAGAAAATGAATGTTACAAGAATATAATCCATCCTAGACTGAAATGCAGCTCCTATCAAGCATGCATTATCTTGCATTTGCAGAGCACAGGGAACACGGCTGCATTGAGAAGATCTGGAGCACAATTTATGGGTGTCTATGACATGATATAGTAGCATTACTACTACAAGTTAACAAAAGAACCTCAACTTCCACATAGGATATCGATATCAACAGAGAAGGTTATGAATATCATATGGTTTTAACCACTTCAGAGCTGACATTCCTTTAAACAGGAAGATGGTAAAGACTGGCAGGCAATGACAATTCTACTTTTGAATTTTGAAAACTTTACTCCCAGAAATGAAAGAATTGATTAAAGAATTCTTTTTTCATTCTCGGTCTACAATGCCAAGGCAATAATAATATATGTAGAACTAATGTACAGAGAAAAAGAACAAAACCATCAGGTGTATGCATCTAACTAAAATGAGAAAGAAGCTGCGAATGCAAGCACAGGTGAAGAACAGAACATACACTGGAGTTCCACAAGCAGGCAGAAACTTCAAGGAAGAACTGTTTCAACAGTTCCCTAAAATTAGTTCATAGTTCATCAGGGGCACTCTACACCAAATGAAATCCCATATCATTAAGCTCCCAACTAGGACAAGATAAGGGAAAACAATGCATACAATAACAAAAAGCATTTACTTAACAAACTTAGTCAGATTACAAAGAGTGAAAATTACCAATCTCCTCAGTATATCTATCAGTAATCAAGTAATTCAATAATCTGAAATTCATTAAAAAAAAAAAAAAAAGGACCTAATCTACCTTAATTTCATCAAACCATAAAGAAGTTAATGATGTTAATCCATCTGAAAATGAATATCACTGGTAAGTAGGTTTTCACAATAAAACCCCATTGACTTGATGCATATATATTTAATACGGGGCTCTATATCAATTAATTAAGCAATATAAAGCGATTCAATACACAATCAATTAAAATTATTGATGATTTAGAGCTCTCCTAACTTAACTTCAATAAATCAAACAGTTACCAAACAGTTATAGCTAGCACACTCAAGCCCACCAATTAATGGCAAAAATTGAATACAATGTGAGCTAAAATCATAAATTAATCTACAAAAATAAGAACTAAATCCGAAAGTTGATAATTTCTTTATTAATTCAAGTTCCAATATATTTTTTACGCAATCCATGACGGGACCACCTTTTACATTTTCTGAACTAGCTTCTACTAAAACTAAAATCTACAAAAATTGAACAACACAGGTAAATTCACAGATTAATTGAAGTATCTCACTCCTTCAATGAGCCGCAACAATGTTACTATCACTACTAAACACATCGATGACCGGATCGGGAAGATCAGACCCCGGACCTGACTGATTCGAGGTCAAAAACAGCACCGCTTTAGCCGCCACGAGTTTCTTCCTTTGAGGACATCGTGGACCATACATCCTCCCGGAGAAGCAAGGGAAGGCATCGGTCACGCTGACCTGAGGTTGATCGTCGTTTGAAGACGGTGGAGGTGACATAGGCGACATGCGGTGAGGGGAGATCTGAGGAATTGAAATGACTCTATGCGATCTAGCGCTGATTTTCGAGTCTCGCAGGCGGGCAAGGGCGCCAGGTTTGAGGTACTTTAGGAATGGCTCGGGTCGGGTCAAGTGTTGTCTTGGTAAAGATCGAATTCTTCGCTCCATTGTAGAGAGAGAGTGAGAGATCCAGAGAGGGAGTGTGTGTGTGGGTTAGGGTTAGATAAAGAGAGATAGGCAGGTGGGTTTTTAAGGAGAGAGAGTGAGGCGGGAAATGAGAGGAGGGTTTTGAAAGAGAGAGGAGGGCGCGGGATTTGTTAAGGGTTTTATGATATTAATATGTGAGGTTTTTTTTTGTTTTTTGTTTTTTTTTTTGGTAATCGACGGTGCATTGACTGACAGGCCTACTTTCCATGAAGAGCTGACGCGTGGATCTTGGTCCACTTGTTATAGTTTAATGAAATTGTGAATTGTGAATCTGTGATGCAATAGCAGATGGCTGTACAATGTGTTTTATTTGAGGACTCAAACTATTTACTAGCCCGGTAGCAATATCGGGCCCATATTAGTTTTTGGATTATGATATTGATTATACTTTTTGGGTTTTGATTTTCAAGCCTCACCTTTTCTTTTAGTAAGCCCCACACTTATTTAGAGTAAGGATAAAATAGTATTTTCCTTTGGCTTTGGATATGGAAAGCGTCCCCCACAACAAAGTTAAAGAAGAGAACAAACAATGAACAAACAGATTGCAACTTTCTTAGGTTAGTCTTACTGCACTGCATGGTCCACACAAGGAATTGTATTCCTGTATAATTTTTTACTGGAATTAAGAAAATATATTCGTAATATATGCTTGTATTTTTGTTATGTGGAATGATCTTCTTCTAATTCGTTCATTCTTTCCTTGTTGATGTAGTGTTACTTTTTATTGTATGCTGAGAGAGAAGTTGCCACACAGTATCCAAATCCTTCATGAATCTTGAATCTGCAATTCCTAACTGTGACAACTTCCAGCATCCAAGTCACTATTAGGACAGTAAACGAGTCAGGCTAAACTGAGCCGAGCTTTCGGCCTGTCAAGCTCGACTCGAATGCTATAGGATCAAGCTCGAGTACGAGCTCGAAGGTTCGAGTTAGGGAAAATGTGCTCGAACTTGAGCTCGTTCCAAATGAGTCGAGTTCAAGCAAGCTCGCAAGCTCCAATTTGAGCCAGCTTGTGAGCTCCAGTTCAAGCCAGGCTCGTTAAGGCTCAGTCAACCTGGGTTTGACCTGCGCCAATTTCAACCTTGTAGACTATTTTTTGCTCCTGAACCTGTTTAAATACACAATTTTGCATCAAAAAATAGCTACTGTGTCCTCAATCATATTAACCATGATAGTTTTGTATAGAAAATTAAGTTAAGTGAACCAACTTTCTTATTTTAATTCACTTCACTTAATTAATGTTTGAGCTACAAAAAAAAATAACATATTAACATGCGATTTTATCAAAATAGGGTCATAATTTTAATCTAGCAGTAATTTTATCAAAAAATAACTATTGTGTCCAGGACATCAAAATAACAACTATCCAATAATCAAAATAGAGGGGGTTGTAGTATGTATATGGGCTGTCTATGTCTTGTATTGAGATCACCATCAAAATTTGTTAGATACCCAGCCTTCACCTGTAATTACAACACACAATTAACTGATGAGTACCTACCTACATTGATGAACACTTGCCCAGATTTCATCTAACTAATATTCACAACTCACCAACACAATTCAATTGAGAAAAATCAAGCAAATGGCTTCTATTTCCCCACACCCAAATGGTCTCTACCACCCAATTATTTCCCAAACTATTTCCCCACGCCCAAATGGCCTCTACTGCCCAATTCCAGCAACTTCCACAACACAAATAGACAATATAGAACAGATTTCCACAACATAAAGAACCACTCAAGAACCAAAAAATAACCCATAAACCATGTACCTATGCATGCCCCCTACCACAGCCAAACCATGTACTGAATCTGATTCCCAGAAACTTACGGTATTGGAAGCCTGATCTCTAACAGTTGCTACTCTTCCTGAAATGACAAAGGAGGAGCAATTAAAGTTTAGTTAGAATAAAGATAATGTAATTATTGAATTTAATCAAATATTCAAAATAACCTTCTTTGCACTCTTTCTTTACCCCATTCAAAGAGCGACACCAATCACATCCACATAGAGCATTCTACTATGTCGGGAGCCAATGATGATCGATACATGTTGATAACCCTACTCTCGACACTAAAAGTAGATTCAGAAGCAACCGTAGTGATAAAGATGGCTAATATGTAACGAGCCATGGTAGATAAAATTGGGAACTTCTTTGAATTTGCCTTCCACCATTGTAAAGCATCAAACGCTTTAGTATCCCCCACACATTTATGGCATCCTCTCCCAAATAACAGTATAACACTGATTTACTTGGCTCAACAGTCTCAACCACGTCCAGAAAGCTACTAAAATCATCTCAATCCTCCAGCCTGGCTGCCGATACCCCCGACCCCTCACCAACAGCCTCAAGTCCATCCTCTTCTGATGTAGAAGCGCGGAAAGCAGTCAATGCTTTACTAGCATCAACATACTCCCTGTATATCTCATACAAGGCATCCGAAACAGTATTAGCATTTGCCCGCGCTTCCGAATCAGTATACATCTTAGGGCAACCATTGAATGACTCTCGTCTTTAGTCTAGGGTCCAATATAGCAGCCACAGCCATCAACAGATTACATTCCCCCAATATTTGTCAAACTTTTCTTTCATTTTCCAAACCATGGTTCTATAAATTCATCTTCATCTTTATTCTTACTATCCAACATAATTTTGATTAGACAAACTTGTTTTAGAAACAAGTTTGATGTCGGATAATCACTCCCTAATATGAGATCGTACCACTAAACACCTTCAAAAATTCACAAAGTTTCTCTACTTTGTCCCAATCGTCCTCCTTAGGATAATAATGGTAACTAATATCCCTCTCCTTCAATATATAAAAAAAAAAAAAAAAACACATCTAAACTTCATTGTCGTTGCCAGCATATCATATGTTGAATTTCAGTGTGTTTTGTAATCAAGAATAACCTTGCAAGACGACAATCACAACTGCTGAACAATCTTTGAAAAAAACTTAAGCCTACTCTCCGAGGCATTGATATATAACACGTTGTCATGGATGTCATCAATAATGTGTCTAATTTGATAATGGTCATCTCGAACAACCAAGTTCAAGATGTGTGCACATCATCTTACATGAAACAACTTGGCCTCACATATGAGCTTCCCTGTAGCTTAGATATTTTCTTTCAAGGCTTTGGTTGCAACATCATTACTTGAAGCATTGCCCACTGAGATCGTGTGGACCTTAGTTTCAATTCCCCACTCCATCCAGCACTTGAAAATGACATCAGAAATAACGACACCAGTACGGGGAAGAGGCAAATGAACGAAGTTCAGGACCCGTCTATTAAACTTCCAATTATCATCAATCCAATACCCAGTCAACACCTTGTATTTCATCCTCTAATTGCCTAAATTCCATAGATCTGTGGTGAGACTGATCTTTCTAACACCTTTCAATACCGTCTTCAACTTCTGCTTCTCATTTTCATACACTTTCACATAATCATTCTTACAAGTATTATGCAAAATTGGACTCCATTTAGGAATCTCATACTTCATCATATTGTTCAATCCCTCTTCCTCCACAATAGTAAACAATTGCTCATGCATCAACACCCAATGCGCAATAAGTCCCTCATCTTAAGCATATCGAACTGGCCTTGTAGAGCAAGCAGGATAACAGATGTACCTTGAGAACTGGAAGAGGTAAAATTAATTTGTTATTGCCTCAAGGAAGCTGATCTCTTCGCACACCTCTTCAAATGTCTACTAAATTGGGTAGTTCTTCCAATGGCAGTAATTTTCAGCTTGGTTTTACAGTGGATGCACTCCGCCTTCTTTGTACCACCAAGGACAACCACCTCCCTAAATTCTGTCCACACCGTTAATGTATTGGCTCTCTTTTTCCTGTGAAGTGGATTGTCATTGTCCACTACATTTTCGGGGCTATTGATTCGATAAATGTTATAACAATCAACCACTCTGACAATCATCGACGTCATCCAATGTCGGGGTGCTTGAGGAACTACCTTCGAAGGTCATACCTATAATTAAAAAATAAGAAACCATCATTAAGGAAACACACAAACTCCAGAATCCAACAACACAAACTGCAGAATCTAGTAACACGCAGAAACCATAATCAATTAACATCATTAAAAATTCATCATCAATTTTTCATAAACAAGTTTTCAAGCAGAGAAACCTTAAACCGTGTGCAAAATAGTGGCCTGTCCTCGCAAGTGCAAACTGCCACATAGTGACGTGATTCAGAATCGACCCTATAGGCCTGCAACAATCAATTTTCATAATGTGCAAACTGAAAATGACAAAATTCATCTTAATTCTTCACACTACTTTTCATAATGTGCAAACTTAGGCCAAAATTCATCATCAATTTTTCAGAAACAAGTTTTCAAGCATAGAAGCCCTAAACCGTGTGCAAATAAACCCTAAACCATGTCCAAACTAACAAAGCATGTTAATGAACCTTAACGAATTTAGAGAAGCATTTGTGAGTTTTGATACTTACTGATTGTGCTTATTCTTGCCGATTTTGTGCTCGATTTAGAAGAGAAGAATTGGTTTCACGATTTGGGGGTGAAGTCGGGATTCCTCCATGTCGTTAATCGATCGGCGATGACAAGAACAAGGGATGGGTGAACGGCGACGGCAAGCACAGGGGGCAATCGTGATTTGGGGATTTAGGGTTTGTGAAATTGGGTATAGGTTAAGGCTTGGTCGATTTGGGGAAAATTGAATTAGAGGTGTTTTATGTTTAGATTGAGTTTTACTATTTTGTACTTAGGGGGTAAATGTCATTTTTCTTTTTTTTAATATTGCAATATAACATTTCAATCCTACAAGGTTTATAAAACTTACAAAATTGACCTTCTTATGCGAACCACCCTAGGCTCACGAGCCTACGAGCCGAGACCCCCTATGATCGAACTTGACTCGAGTTAGTACTAAGGATGCCCATAAAACTCGGCCCCGTAGGGACCCAACC